CTTTAAAGCAGGTCACTAAACTTTTTATCCTCATTTGTTTGATGGGCGCCAAGCAGTCATGACGCAGTGGCTTTTACAAGTCTGGTCGGGGAAACCCATTTAAAGTACAACTGATTAATCAGCTGGCCAATATTATGTGCTGATATTGGGTTATAAATAATGTATCACAAGAGGAAGTTATGCGATTTATTGCCATATCGGTGTTTTTTCCCCAGGATGGATCAGGCAGGAAATACGATAAGAAAGTATTAAGACTCAGTAACAGCTTGAATCCTCCACATTCTGCCCCTCTTTTACTCTCCCAAAACCACAAGCTTCTACACTTTACCCTTCATAAACAATAAGATGTTAGAGCAAGCTGCTGAACTGCCTACTGCTCTGATGTGTCAGACAGAGATCTCCCTCTTCCAATTTCACAACACGACCCAAAACTGGGCAACTCGATACCTGCGCTGCTTGTATCATCATTTTAGAGCATTGAAATATTTAGGCCATTACAACGTCGTCAGCACCGAACGTCAAAACCACACGTTTCTCCATATGTGCTGCTTCAGGACGGCCGGAGGGCATTCGGATATTAACATGCCATGTCTCTGCTATTAATAGGCCGTGTTTGATTTTGTGCTGCAGAAGTAGAGCGAGCAGGAACATGAAACTCAGAGGCCCTTACTGTACCCCTCCAGCCACACGTGCAACATTTACCAAGCACTTTTATTTAGATGCATTAATCATTATTTGGTTCTGTTTTGACTTTTTTAGTTCTCGTGTGCATTGCCGTGAAGTTGTTTTGCTCTTAAAGTGGCTTTGCTCAAACATTAACAAAGGTTGAGCTGAGGAAACAGAAAAACTGTTGACGTACTGAAGCTGCTTGTGATTATTTTAAAAACTGAACATATGAATGTAGAACGCTCTGCTGCGACACAAACAGGAAGCCGACTGTAGGTAACACTGTTCCCGCACACCACAACTTGTTTGAATGTAAACACAGCACACAGTTTACCCACTTCCTGTCTTTCTAACAACACACACACACACTTTCTCTTTAACTCCGTCTCGTTCTGTCCGACCTTGCCGACTCCCCTGAGGCCGTCACTAGTCTGCCTCTCAGTCTGTCGCACACACACCGAGGACGTAACGCTCACCTTCCACGGCGAAGTTATCGTAGGCTTCCTCATTGTGGATGTTTAAAACCGCCATGGTCCGTCTCTCCTCTCTACTGAACCGTCTTCATCCTCTTTCCATCCACTCTGCACACCCCCTCCTCCCTCATTACTGTCTGTCCCGTGACTCTGGCTTTGAACTCAGCTGGCTGGATCACTGGATTCCTCTCTCTCTCTCTCTCACACACTCTAACGGTGTCACAGTCGAGTTCACACAAGCAGACACAATGACAAACCCTGTGCCGAATAATATCCACCGTAAATCCCTGTGATTTTAATTGAATAGGATGTGCACTGTATAAAACGAATCCCTCACGTGTCTAATGCGAGACTCAAACACACGCCATCTGCCCGCTGATGTCACCGCGGGATTAACCAATCAAAAGAAAGTCGAGTTAATTTAACCGCACATCTGACCCGGCGTAGTTTCGCGAAACACTTACTCATGTAGCGGAAGGTCTCCTCGGCCAACATGGGGGAGATGGCGTTGTGCTGGACGGGGCCTTCGTCCGGGGAGCAGCTCGGGGACACCACCCAGTCCTGGCTGTCGGACAGGTAGACAGAACCGGCCGAACCGGATCCCAGCGAGCCAGAGCCATAATGCCTCCCGCTGCTGCCCAGCCCCTCATCTGGAACACAGACAGACACATGACTTACTCTCCAGTGGCTCAGGGTCTAGTGATTACTGTCATTACTGCAGAGCATTTTTAAGATTAATACTTGATCTTCTGGTCCCAAAGATGGACTTAAATGGCCAGCAGGGGCTACGCTATTCACTCACCTGCCAGGAGTTCAAATAAAAGTTTATGCTCAGTATAAAGGTGCAGCCAGGACATGCTTAGCTTAGCTTAGCATTAAGGGTGGAAGCAAGGGGAAACAGGTAGCCCGACTCAGTCCAAATCCACTAAAGCTCATTAATTCACAGCATGGCCAGCTGTGTCCACCTGCTTCCAAAACTTATGCGACGCTAAGCTAACAGTCTCCTGCCTCTAACTTAATAATCAACACATAGACATTGGGAGTGGCACCAATCTCCTGTAAGGAAGCAGAAAGGTTTAGTTCCCAAATTGTTGAACTCTGACGTTAGCTCGATGTAGGTCTGAATTACGACAATCGCAAAAAAAACCTAACATGCTAAACAGACTTTGACTGATTATAGTCCAGTGTTGGTTCTGTGTGTTTTGTTATGTTTTTTTTAACCAACTTCCCACAAGATAAAGGAATTTAACTCGTGCTACTTCTACTCTCTCTATTTCGAGTCAACACTTCTGAAGACTCGAGCAAAATCTCACCAACAACCGTCTGACTGGTTACACATCAGAAATATTAGCTTACCAACGTGATCTGTAAATGTTTAAAAAGGCATCTTTAAATTAAACACGTGTAAAAATCCTCAGCATAAAAAGTTTAATTTTAACTCTACATGTGTTTCGATTTCAGTCAATCTCTCACCAGTGAACAAAACATCATTCACATGTTCATACTCTAATTATTCATCATCAAAATCCAAACCATGTCATGTGAATCACATGATGACATAAAAAAAATCTAATTCAAGGCTTTATTGTGCATCATAATGAAAATACTAAGTAAGTAAATGATAAGGGATGCTTTTATTTTGGCAAATCTGTGCAGCCTCGGGGAGATTTGAAGGCAAGTGTGGGCCGATGAAGCATCTGAATGTGTGTGTGTGTGTGTGTGTGTGTGTGTGTGTGTGTGTGTTCTCTTGGCTCCGGCACTGTACAAGCCAATGTCCTTCCACTTGAGCAAATATGTGGTTTACTGGGACAGATGGAGCTAACTATAGCATCAGGCCTAAAGGCACAGCTACTGTACCGCAGGGAAGTCTGGCAGAGCAGGAAGTGTACACAAAGCTTAGCAGTGGCCACACTGCAACCTTTGCTTCTGTAGATATTTCACTAACGGTGGTTCCTACCTGTCTCTGTGCTCGACTCTTTCTTCTCCACCGCCCGGGGTTTGACTTCAAACATGTCCTCGGAGTGGGAGGGGCTCCCCACTCGCAATAAACACAATGCTGGACAGAATACGGGAGCTGCTGTGGCATCACATGCTGCTTGTGCACTGACGGGCGGTGTCCACACACACCTTTACCTGCAACACAGGACAGAAGTACGAAGTGTCAGAGAGCCCAGAAAGACATGAATACTCCAGAGAGGCTGCAGTTCACATTGACTTTGCTTTTCTCCTTCCCACTTGATTGCTGACGATGCAGGCAGATAGAAAAAGAAAATCCTCCCACAGTGTTTGCTGTTGGACACTTTAACCAACTCTAGCATAAATCCCTAGAACATTTCTACTCGTTTCATTCTGACGAGGGCATATTTTGAGCCGGATTAAAGGTTAGTGTCTGAGAATTTGAAGGTGGATTTTGTGTCACCATGACAGACAAGCGTAAAGCGAGCCATAACTGAGTCATTTTCATTCCCTCTTCTGTGCCACATGCTGTTTTTAGGGAGGGCTGAGGGGAGAGAAACAGACGTCCCACATCCTGTTGCCTCTCTGTCCCAGGCCTTAAAGGGATGACGGAAGGAATGAAGCAGGATGTGGTCTCTTAAAGGGATGAGCCCCAAGGAGGACACTGGAGGAGGAATCTGAGCAGCCATGGACATTTGCATCATACTGCATGGTACTGTGATTTGAAGGATTTGTATTTTGGCTCAAACCTTGGTGTGGCCTCCTGGAGTTCCTCTTGTTTTATTTAGTATGTCACATCATAGCTGCTCATGTATTTACTCACACATTTAATTCCAAATAACCTGTTGGAAACATGAAATAAATCACTGAATAGGTGCGACGTTCATGCTCAAAAACAAAAACCTTTTCCACTAATTCAGCGCTAAGTTTCCAGAAAGTTAAAGGTTCTTGAGGGGCATATTTAAAAAAAAAGAATGAGCAAAACTGAAGCAGCAGAGACCGAGACTACGCTTCCCATCATGCAGTTTGATAGCATCTTTCATGAGATCCCCTCTGCCTGATAAAAATACCCTCATTTTCCAAACCTCATACCTTCCGTTTGTGACACACCCTCTCAAGTCAAAGCTGAGATAACCCCAATGACATCAGTGTTTTTTAGATTTTTGCAGACTTCAGCTCATTATAGAGCCATAAAAGACATTATACAACAGTTTTTACAAGATGAGCAGTAAAGTGAATTTGATGCGTATAATTCGCGGCGTGTCCTTGAAGTGGACGGAGGTTGTGTAGCTGTACGATTGTGTAGCTGTTCTATTGTGTATTAACAGGAAAAAAAGGAGCATTTTAAAGGACAATGCAATGAATAGCTCTGAGTATCATATGCATCACTGACCCTCGTGCTTGGCCCGTGCATGCAGAGACACATGCACATCTGTGTGGGTGCATGTGTCTCAGTGAGCATGCCTGTGGAAAGACAGAGTCCTCTGGGCAACATTCATCCTCTGCTTACATAACAGTGAGGCTGAAACAGTGTGCTACACCAAGGAGATTAGAGGAGATGTGATGCACGCAATGCTACAGCCTCAGCATGCTGCGTACCATTTAATGCCGGGCAGATATACTGTATTGACCCATTAATGACACTGGTATTGACTGATACCGAAATTATAACGGTCACATTCGCATTAGGCCGTGGAACAATTCTGTGAACAAAACATTACATGTATTAATCATTAGTAGGAGCTGCACCCATTATGTTCACATTCCTCATCACTGTGTCTTTAAAATGCACACTTGTTCTTTTTCCAGGTTTAAAATACTGATCTCGTCCAAGTGAGTCACCTCATGAGTAAGACTGTCACAGGCAGACGGCTGCACAGTATTTTCCTCACAATCTTAACCCAAAACACAGAAATTAAAAAGGGAATTAGTGGTGCACATTGTATTGACCGCACGCACAACATCCTTTGGCTTAAAACGGCCGGAGAAAACATTCTAACCACAATCTGGTAACCACCACTTAATAGTGGTGACATAACAAAGATGTAAAACCCAGCGGAGCAAGAGAGCAGCTCTGAAAGTAACCGACAGCACAGCAGCACAACACAGAGCACGAGCCTGTCACAGCTGTCCCACAGCGACTGTCTGCTGATTACATCAGCTTTCCACAGACCTCACCTCCCTTCATATCTAATCCACTCATTCAGCTGATGCTCTAATCCAGAATGACCTACAACTGGTGCAGCAGTAGAAACAGCAGCATCTCAGCACCGATACAAGCTTAAGTTAATACAATGACAGGAAAGTCTAAGATGACCTTGTTATTGTTAAGCTTGCAATGATATCCTTTAGCCTTTTCTGTTATTCGCTGTGTTTCTTTAGCAACACATTTGCACCGAGCTCAGCGTAGCCTTGACAAACTGGACAGGGCCCGAAGGCTAACTTCAAACGAAGCAGGACATGAGGAGCAGCATGTGACTCTGACTGGACCAGAGACTTTCAACTGCAGAAATCTGTGACTGGAACAGCAGCAGACATTCCTCGACATGCCCTGCAAAAAGGAATGACTCCAGCCAGATAGAACATTGTGAAACACTGATCTGATCTGACGGCCAAACCAACATTCGTAATTATAAGTGCCAAAGTAGTGGCTGGCAGAAGTTAAATATGAATGTACAGATCAGCAAAACCTTCAAACGTTTTAATGTATCCACAGAAGCTACTGTCCAATTTACCACCACTTATTTCCACTGTCAATTCATTAGTCAGAAGGTGGTGAAAAATGTTGATAATTAAAGCCCAAGATGATAAATGAAAGAAAAAGAAACCAGAAAGTACTCACATTTAAAATAGAATGTATACTCATACAGATTCATCGATTATAAAAGCAGTTCTAATCAATGTAACAATGGACACGTGATTGATTAATTGTTCGAGCTCTAGACTCGGACAAACAATACACAAAAAGCAGCTATTTGGGGGGAAACCTACAGTTTGATCATGTCTTTGTAATAACTAGTAGTTAAGTAATCACAATTTTACACTGGATCCTTTAAAGACATGGAAGTGCTACAGTAGATGGTGTTTTTATAGACTGTGTTGATGTTCAGCTGTCAGTGAGCTATTACAAGTTTATTACATTTTAGCATGAAGGCTAATGTATACATGCTATAAGAGATGAACGCTATTTACATGCATTACGTTAGCTAAAGTTAATAACGATGTTTAGCAGGCTAGCTAACACGTATTTACACAGCTATAACTACAGGTGAGTTACCTGTTAGCTCCTCAACAAATCCTCACTGAGCTGAATGTGAAATGATGTGTAGTAAACACCAACTAGCTTTAGCTCTGCTCAGGTCGGATAACAGCTTCTCTGTTGCTTAGCATTGCTAACAAAGCCATCGCGAGCTCAAACCGGCTGCATCCCTCACGCGGTGAACATTCCAGAGTTAATTATATATTTTTTTAAAAAAATTAAAAGATACGTGACAGCTATAAATCTTACCCTAAGTCAATGTTATTCCACAGCATGGGCAGCTCCAGCAGTACATGCGGTGTCTGTCAATCCCTTCCCCAAAGCCTCAAACAATGGAGGGGAAGGGAAGGGAGGGGAGCAGGCAAACAGCTACTCGCGTCATCGAGCGGCGACAGCCAGCCAGCCAGCCAGCCAGCCTGGTGACGCGTTTATTGCGCGACCGTTATCTGTGTCAAATTAAAAGTCCTCTCTGAAGACTACATTTTTTTTCTTTGGTGATTATGCGGTTCGGTATTAACAGTGAAACTTTCCGCACGACCCCGTACATTTTGGTGAAAGAATGAAAGGATACGAAGCGTAGGAACAACACGTCGTTTCGAATGTCAGACTCGTATTTTTAACTTGTTTACGCCGGAGCTGCTGTCGAGAGGAGGAGAAGGTGAGCAGCTTGTTTTCGTTACATGGACTTCAAATAAATACAAAAAAACAATAAGACCCCGCGCTAACGTTAGCTTACTGCTCGAACTAGCTAAATATGTTAACACTGCCAACATTAGCTATCGAAATAGGAAACCTGCTGAGCGTGTCCCGTAATTTATTGTTGTTTTTTTCACAGCGTTGAAATGACCGTGTAGTGTTACCCAGAACTAAATGATTAGCCTGACGGTCCGTCCGTTTGCTAACTGTCTGCTAGCTGAAATAACAGCAGTTAATCCAACCATGAAGAGAGATTAATTTGATAAACATGTTTGGACTGTAATCAGCAAACACAGGCAGATTTTTATTTTATTTTTTTTAAATTTTTTTAGTTCATCATAAACAAAGACGTCACTGCTGTAATAAATAGATTAATTTCTCATCGGGAACTTCAGGATTCACCCACATTCTTCCTCCCGATGCCAACACCGCTGACTGGGCTGGACGGGGACCTCCTCTCTTATTTCCTCACATCTCTGTGATGCAGCCAGGTGAGCTGCAGGCGGATGGATGAGCGGCTGAGGCTGGATGGATGCTGGCTGCTTTCTGGTCTAGTGGGGGATTCTCCGTGTGTCTCGTATTACACTGCTGCGCTTCATCCTCCTGTCTCCCTCCATCGCGGTCGGTCTCCTGCAGCCTGCGAGCGGATGAATGCCAAAGACTGTGATTTTACCGTCGCCAAAAGGACTCCATGTCTTTCTTGGTAAGGATTTCACGCCGCATGGGTTTTGCTCGATCACTTCGTGTCGCTGAGTTGTGACCTAGTGGATGTGTAGTCACGAATCAGCTGGATCATGCTGGTGGTGGAGGTGGTAAACTCAGGAGCGTCCAGATACGGATGCACCAGTGTATGTGTCAGATTAGTTGATTTAAAAGCAATCAGCGTGATATTATTATTAATGCACATGATATTTTGCAGTCTTGCAAGTTACACGTGCAGCCAGTTTGAAAAGTGTAACACCTCTGTGTTTGTGTATGTGGTGTGGGCTAATGTATGTTTGATAATGTCAGATATTTTTAGTAGCTCTCTGTGCATTGTTCACCTCTAATGGGTGCTTCTAAATATATATGCAGCTCTTATCTTGCTCTGTTGGGACACATCCGTCAGTCAGCTGCCTCTTTGTTGCCTGTTATCGTCACTCTAACTCTCTCTCCACTCATCACTTCTGATAAAATACCCTTTGAGTGCCCTCACATATTTCCCGATGCTTGCTCCTCTGCCTCATCTCTAACCCTCCGCAAAGCAGCGTTTCACCCTCCACTCCCAAACTCCACGTTTCCTCTCCACATCTCCTTGTCCTGTAGGGCATGTCTCACCTGTGCTCCTCCCCCCCTTCACCAGGACTGTTCCTGCATCTCCCACGCTCAGGTCCAGCCCATGGACATAGAGGAGCGCTATGAGGACACCAGCCACCAGTTCCTGGTCAGTAACCACTGGCTCTGTCAGCATGGTGACAGGCGTAACACTGATGCTCTTCCATCATGTCATCACTGTTCATTTATCATCTGTCTGGAGCTGCCTAGGACCTGCCTCAAAGTTGTGATAGATAGTGACTATTAGAATAACACTGCAGCTGTGAAAACTCTTAAAGTGGAACTCCATAGATTTAACATTAACTGTCCATAATATTGGGAGATAAACACGATACAGATTAAAACAAGAGTGTTCAAGATTGGTACACAGAGACTGAAATGTACAGATTTTTAATATTTGGCTCCAAAAACACTGCGTACTGTAAATCCCTTAATGCAGCTTGGTAGTACTTTACATTAGATATTTGATTCCTAGTAAACTCTCTGGCTTTGTTCGACTCCCAGTTTAGCATGCAGCCTTTTTGCAGTGAAGCCCCCATTCAGAAAACCCTTCACGATGACATCATCAGACTTGTCAGAGCTCCTCCAGAATGCCCCCCAAACATTTTCATCAAAATGTTCCTGCCCAGTAATGTTCTCCTATAATGCAGTACTTCATAATTAATATTTATTATTAACGACCTAATAATAATTATTAATGTACTGCGGATGTGTGAGGTCATTCCCCCTCTGGTGATACAGACACAATGCTGGGATGGATTCAGAGAATGTGTATTCTTATGGTGAATGAAACACATTCTGCTAGTGCCTCTGTGAAACAGATGTCCCAATAATCTGTCTGCATCACTGAAACTGCAAGCATCCTCTCCTCCCTACTGCCACTGTGCTCGGTGTCACAGCGCCACCCGCTGGTGTCCACAGTCGCCGCGCACAGAATCTCACCACAACAGCAGAGAGCCGTCTGGAACGAAGACTAAAGCCAGTGTCATCGTCACACTTCAGCTCCTTTGTGTCTGCAGATATCCACGAGGAGACTGTAGAGCTGCTACAGAAAGCTGCTTAAAGATATTTAATTATCCACATTGCAGAATTGGGTTTTTAGAGAGAAGGTTACTAATCAAAGGGGTAATAAATACCATTTTTACAGCATTATAGCAGAAATGTTTAGACTGAAAAGGCTTTGGTTGTTCGAGTTAAAGAGTTTCCAGATGCACCAGTGTATGTGTTAAAGAGTTTATATTGTCCCAAATCATACTGCCTGTCCTGCTTTATGTGTTCAAATCTAATCCACCCCCACCCTGCCCACTCACAACTTCAGCTGCTTAGTGATGGTGTTACTTCCTCACCTCACTTTGGATTCATTCGGTTTTAAATGTGTAATAACATAGGGTCTTAGCATGCATATTTATATCAGTCAGGTACAGTTATATCATATATAATACTGAGGGGTTTTAACTCGACTATTTAAACTTGTCATGTGAGTTTGTGTAATATATAATATTATAGGGTCCACATCAGGCGTTTCATATGTGCTGCATAGATAACAGTGACTTGACTTTACTGTTTCATACAACTCACTAGCTGACTGGTCTGACTTTGGAAATGTGACCTTCTAGTTTGTGTTGGTCACAGGAGACAAACAGAGTCAGGCTGAATCAGACGAACACAGAATCCAGAATGTATTGTGTTGATGGTCAGACCACCACTTCTCATCTAGACAGGATTTAGAGAACCTCTAATAGCTGCTGTAGCCCATCAACTTTTCATCCAGCGTCATCATCAGGGCAAAAGTATTCATCTTAATCTTGTGTTCTCATCAGCCTCAGCTGTTCTTCAAACGCTAACACACTAAACTAAAACGATGAACATGGGGAACGTTGGTGTTTGTGGGTAACAGCACGATCTTGCTTCAGGCTTTCAATTTGTATGTGGTGGTAGTTTTTCTTTTGGTCCCCCTTTATCACTTATTTACAGTTATTTTTATTGATGTTTGTGTTGCCAGAGGGGGAAGGAGGCTGTGAATGAGGAGCTAAATACAGTTACAGCTCGTCCTGGTCATTAACAGAGATAGATGAGGGTCATTGATGATTTAATGTACACTTAAAGTGTGTACGTGCCTGTGTTGCTAACTTCTGTTTGTTTGCTGAGTGTCTTTATTTTCTGCTCTGTTACCCTTGTGATAAATGTGTGTTAATGGGGTGTGTGCGTCCCTGCAGAGCTGTGACGGTTCTGAATACACTCTGCAAGGGCCAGCAGGTGGCGATGACGTCACTGGGCTGTCGGCCGAACCGGCCCACTACCAGCTACTGTCTGAGCTGGGTGAGAGCATCACAGAGTCACAGTATAACAACAGTCATGATTGTAAACAAAAGCTGAGTTGATTTCTCCTAAATCAAAGGAATGACAAAGGAATTCACTGAATGTCAAATGACTGTGTCGCAGGAAGAGGCTTCCACAATCTGAGCCAGGTGAACATGGCCCGCCACATCCCCACCGGCCAGCTGGTGGCTGTCAAACAAACCAACCTGGACGAGTGCACAGAGGAGGAGCTGCTGCAGCTCATGGTGAGCTGCTCCCTGGACACTGACATTTATTTAAAGGCCATGCGGTTATACAAGCTTCTCTCCATCCAGGGTTATTTATGTCAAATTGTGTGTCAAACCCCAGAATGAGGTTCTGCTGTCCCGACTCTTCCGTCACCCCAACCTGCTGACCTCTCGCCTGGTCTTTAGCTCCTGCTGCCAGCTGTGGGTCCTGACACCGCTCATGGCCTATGGTCAGCCACAACCATAACTTTTAATCCTTCAAAAACATCTAGTGCATGTTTGTGAGGAGCCTCTGCATTATACTATTACCAAGTAGTCTTTGTTTTGTAAATGCTGTCTTCAGGGTTTTTGCACGACTGCATCCTTTATTTTTTATTTTTTTATCACTTTCTCCTACACAGAACATCAGAAGGCATTTCTTTACACAAAATCCTCTCTGGCCAAAATGATTCTGTCTGAAGACGTAGCAGAATTAGCTGCTTACTGTTCTCCTGCCGTTGTTTTGCCTGCAGGCTCTGCAGACACCTTACTGAGGACATATTTCCCCGATGGAATGAGTGAGTCCCTGATAGCGTACCTGCTGTACGGTGTGCTGAAGGCATTGGAATACCTGCACCGGATGGGCTACGTTCACCGGTCAGTGGGAGGCAAGACATGAAGATAAAACATCTATTACAAAGGAAATCAGTTTAATGTTTGCATCCTGCTGTCTGTCTGTTTTCCACCTGTCAGGGGGGTGAAGGCCAGTCATATCCTGCTGTCAGGGGAGGGCCGCGTCTACCTCTCAGGGCTCCACAGTGTTTACAGTATGATGCGAGAGGGGAAGAGGATGAGGGCGGTGTTTGATATGCCCCATCACAGTCCAGCACTGCTGCCCTGGCTCAGCCCGGAACTACTGCGACAGGTCAGGACTTTCTACATTAAAACAGCTTCTCCCATATGACAGGAGCTCTACTTCTCTTGTGTATAAGCTCAACTAAGTGACTGGAAAAGCACCTTTCTTCCCCAAATAGAGCTGTTGTGCTTTTTTCATTGCATATTTCAGAAAGCAGTGTCTGTGTCTCAGCCTCAGTGTGGTCTGTTCTGTCTCCTCTCCCTGTGGTGTTGTCCTCAGTAGGACCTGCACGGCTACGGAGTCAAGTCAGACATCTACAGTTTGGGTATCGTTGCCTGTGAGCTGGTCAGCGGCAGGGTGCCTTTCCAGGACATGCCACCCACTCAGGTAACAACTGACATCCACACTGTTCTAGAAGAAAGTGTCTTCATCCAAATGACAAAATCTTTGCTGTTTACATCATTGTCTGAATTTCGCTGTTCAGATGCTGCTTCAGAAGCTGCGTGGCTCCCACTGCTGCCTGCTGGACGTGGCTCCCTTCCCGCTGGGAGAACTGGGGGGACTGAAGGTGTCGCGCTCCGGGGTGGACTCCGGCATCGGGGAGAGCGTGGCCACAGGGAGCCTGACGCACAGCGCCACCGCTCCTCCTGCCGACAGACCTCAGAGCCCTGGACCCAAAAACCACTCGGCCACCCTGCACAACCTGGTCCAGCTGTGTCTGCAGCAGCAGCCTGAGCGCAGGTTCGCAGGAGCAGCCAGATGCATCTAATAGTTGATCAGTTCTGAACACACAGACTTTAATGCTGCTTTTGTCTTCCGTAGACCGTCAGCTTCTGAACTGTTGACACACGCCTTCTTCAAGCAGGTGAGTTTCCTGATCAGGACGTCTGCTTTACTTGGGAAATTGTTGTTATGCAAAATTTCACTGTGCACATCAATGAGTTAAGCATAGAGCCTGTGTGCTTTTATTTTGAAAATTAGGACTAAATTGAAAGGAGCACCTAAAGCTACATCTTTAATGTTCATGATGTGCTCAGTGCTCAAATGAAAACTGACTTCAGGATGGTTTCATCTTAACGAACATAACAAAACACAGACAACAAAGACAGCAGAGACGACACCAACTTAACAGTTTGACAGAAGAAAATCCAGTCCTGACTGATTTCATGTCTCAATAGATCCCTGCACATCGTCAGACAGGATGCCAGTCAGTCTCTCCACCTCCCTTCACCAAAGAGGCAGCTTTAGAAGTCATACATTTAGGGATGAACGTCTTTGCAATTAACTTTGCTGACATGCATGAAGAAGTGATCACTTCATCTTATACTTCTGTCCAGATTCCAGAACACGTGTGTCAGTGGGAATCACATCCAGTACAATGAGGACAAGTTAAGCTCAGTCTGCAGTGTTTTCAGTTCTGTCTCTCAGCCAAGAACAGTGACTCTACTCCCTCTAATTGATTGCTTGTTCTTCTGTCATTGGGAATGCTGCATCTATTTGTTGTCCAGATGCACTGATCCTACTGATCCTGCATCGTGTTTGTACCCTTAGAGATGCGTCTGAGTACAACTCTTGGGGTTGTATTATTTCAGCCTTTCACTTTTCTGCCTTTTCAGCTATTTTTTTTTACTGCCACTGCAATCCACGCTGGCAACCAAGTTGCCCTATAGAAAATGAGTTTCCAGCATTTCCATGCGGTAAAAAGCACAATAAGCAAGAGAGAAGGGCCACGACGTCACCCACGGGTGTCCTGCAGAGCTCAGTGTGGCGCCTCTAACTGGTGCCATCTTCCCTTTACCGCATAATCCACAAATGAGCGAAGCAGTGGAGCTGAGGTGGACCATACAAACATCTCTGGGTCTGTTCTGCCCTGTGACGCCACCTATCTGTCACTCAGCGCTGCCACGAACATAATGATGCACAACTTTAAGCCTTAATACAATTTAAATGTGTGAGTTCTATTTAAAAAAAAAAACATCGCCCCTCATGAACAGGGAAACTAGCTACAGACCAGGCCCTAAACATGTTTGTTTTTACTGTAAAGTTGGATATTTTAACAGGGGGGTCTATGGGAATTAAAGGCCAGTTTATGTTTTTCGTGTGTGCAGGCCGATAAGCCGACACGTGGCTCTGTACAGACTACTTTACCAGAGATGCAGAGATGATCGCATTGCCTTTATCATTGCACAAAAAACAAGGAGCACTTTTTGCAGGATATAGCAGCTACTTACATATGGAGCTGTAGAACTGTGTCAGTGAATAATTTTGAGGTGTGTCGAGTGCAGTGGGGGGATAAAGCTCAGGACTTGTGGAGAATTTAGGAGTTCTGATTGTGTCTGGGCTCCGTAAATAAAAAACATGTACAACTCAAAGCTCCCCCAAAGTCCAGGTGTTTGAGGCTTTCTGCTCTGTTTCAGGTGAAGAGGCACACCAGAGACTCCTTCCTCAGTCTCATGTACCCAGCAGTGCCCCTCGCCAGCCCCGAGGACCCTCCGGTATCCAGCCCCCCGGCCCCTTCCTGCCACTCTCCAGCCTCAACCACCGCAGACGCCGTGGAGGCCGTTTGGGACTTCTCCTAACCCCCCACGTCCTCCTTCGATGTCCCCCCGAATTCTCCAAATCCTGACTAGCAAGCCAAACACAAGACAATCAAAACAAAGCAATGAGGCCAAATTCTACTGTGCTTTTATTTTGTATGACTATTAACCCGACTCTCTGAGCCTTTTTTAAAATAGTTTTGTAGTTTTTTTTATCTGTTTGTCTGATGCCCGTGTGGATTCAGGGCCCGGAGGCGGAGAGGCGACTGTGAAAGTGCTGGATCTAAGAAGCTGCTCTGATCACATGGTAAGGATCCATAGCAACACTAACGAACTGTCAACGAGTCGGAGGACAAAAGACGATTCGGTTGACTAACGATCACTTCCTCTGAGGTAATTATGACTGAAAGGAAAGCTGAAAGTTGACAGCAGCTGTGTGTCTGAGCACATTTAGTTGCTTTTATGGTCGTATTTTCAGAGGTGATGGTTATTTTTGAGGTAGATGACTACAGTGTAGAACCTGCTGCTCTGCTCAAACAACACTAATGCTGTACCTGGAATAAATAAGTGAACACACCAAAACAATTAATCCTAACAGGTACTGAGCATCAGAGATGATGTGAGGCTGGATTCTTCCTTTACAGTGTTAGTACGTATTCAGACTGTGAATAGTGAATACTGAGGTACACAGAAAGAGATTTTCTACACATATGTGCATATATATTCATCCCTGTCAGAGGTTTTCAGACCAAGAGTTAACGGGAGACATGGAGGATGTATCTGCGTTAAATTGCTTCTCCTCCTCAGAGTCGTAGCTCACTCGGATCTGAACACAGACGTGATGCACATATTTTTGGATTCGGTGTGACTTACTCCTCCCGAGAATATAAATATGTCCGACGCCCATCTTGAATAAACAGCGACAGATTGCTTTGACATCAGAGGAAAACAATGATTTTCAAGACTCCAAAAGTTGCCTGAGAATCATCACATTTGAAATGTTTTCTCAGCATCATATTAATCGAGTGGTCGCTGCCTGTACATGCAGAGAGCAGCTGCTAATTCCACATCATTTTAATGATTGGGTTCTAACAAAATGTAAACAAATACTGAACCCACTAAAATCTGGGTTCAGGATGTCGCCCACAGCTGGCTAACTGGTTTCCTTTATACTCACTGTGTTGACATCTTTCAAACGAAACCCCCCATTTCACCAGATTTATTTTCCCAGGGTACCATGTAAACTGTGTAAATATCTTGCTGCTGTATGTTTGAACATATATGCACATACGGTTCCTGTACAGTGACTCTAAAACATGCACAAGAAACAAAGTGTGCTGTGAAAACAAAACAAGAAGAGCACACGAGCAATAGGATATACCTGATGTTCCATGTAGCAGTTAGAAACCGTCCCCGCCCCGATCATGAGTGATGCACCGACGGATTATTTCTACTGTGCTCTGTGACCACTTCTCCAACAATGCCTTTATGTTTTACTGAAACCTGAACATGGTGATCTCTCTGTAACTGTGATTACGTGTACTGTGTATGAGAACTGTGAGCTGCAGTACATATCAAACATGGTAGCTGTGTGAGCCTTATATATATATACACATATTATAAATGATACCGTATGTATGTATATACAAACTTGATTTCCAAACCTTCTGTTAGCCTTGACTGATTTTTTTTATGACGTGTGTTGACAGATGTGTTGTGAATGAACTTTTCTCCTTTGTATTTTAGGACATTTAGAATATGAACCCACCCACATACATGCATGGACCTTAAACTATATTCTTAGTTTAAACTCATTGTTTTAGCATCAAACACATCTTGTCGCCATTTTTGTCCTTTTCTGACACTGACTGTGTTTTTCAGTATTAGTGACCTTTTGAGCTTTAAAATAATTACCTGAGAATATCACAGTGTTAACCGATGCTGCTCAGATCAGTTCACTGATCCTAAATTAATCATTTCAATCTAGATTCAAATACAGATGTGTGGATGACCTCTGATTGGGATTCATGTTTTTATAAAGTGGAAGGTCGTCGGAGGTTCATTTGTAATTCAAAAATGGGGGAAAAAAAAGGATTTCTGTTTCTATGTCTTTTTGATTTAAAACCAAAAATGAAAAAAAAAAAAAACAAGCGCCGTGCATATTTGTTCGTCACCTTTTCACTTGAAAACCAAAACCTGAGGTCACATGGCTTTTTTGTTTAATTTTAGAACAAAAACAAAATCTCGTATTTTTTGTGTCCAAAGGAAAAATGAGAAAACCGAACCCAAGCATTTCGATGCATTTTTCAAATTATTTGTCTTGTTTCTGTGTTTGTAAAACCACATCAACACAATGACTCCTGATCCCAACTGTGCTGTGGTGACACCTTGTGGTCAACATTTTTTGTCACTAATTCGACATAACTAAAGGGAATTCTGGTGCTGTTTTATCTCCAAAATCTGCCTCCTCCCAAAAGGTTAGAACCTGTGAGGAACATTCCTGCATAAGGTAAAAATGTGCCACCTACCTTCTTGTATTTCAAACACTTTCTATCCTGCATCAGGCTCGTCTCAGAAAACTTCAGAGGAGTGTTTTGGTGTCTGTGTGTAATTCTGCAATGAGTACATTTACTTGTAACGATCGATCCAGTGTTGGATTAGTATCGTGTTCTACTGACTTCTGGCAAACTCTCAGGTCATGATTTGGTTTTTGTGATAGAAATGTTTATTAATTCTTACTAATACAGAAAGACAGGAATGGATATTGGTTCCTGGAAGGCACGTCAGTATGAGATAAATGTCCTCCTCAAATGATTTCCATCAGAAGACAGAATCCTGAAGCGGTTCTTCTTCCTCTGAGGCGTTGCAGTCGACCCGCTCTCCTGGTTGCTGACTTCTCTCGTGCTATTCACCTTGCTGGTCTTCACCTCGCTGGTCTTCTTGTGGAAGAACTTTGTCACCTTTGTCACAAAGCTCCCACTTTTTTCTAGATGTCTTCAGCTTTGCTTTCAGTGTCCTGGCAGCAGCTTCTTCAAAAGCCACATGACACGACACAGCTGTGATGTCATGATGTCACACAAACATTGCAGCTGCAGCAACACAAGACTTTATCTTATATCACAAAACTTTCTCCTTATTTCTTTACAGGTATTATTTTATTTTATTTTTTTAATCTTTGTAGTTGTACTTTGCCTTCGATGCTTTCGCACATGCGTATAACAATTGCCCAGTGCCCAAAGTCGCTTCAGTTGATCTCCATGGCAACTCTGTGTAATTTATTAACAATTTAATTATTATATATATATAAAACACATCTCCACCGCTCCACGTATTAGTATCAGTCCTCTTTTTCTCCACTAGGTGGCAGCACGACATCAAAACAAACCGGTGGCGCTCTGCCCAGCCCTTAGCAACCACCAAAGTCCACATCGACAACGTAAAGGAGAAACACTGTCGCAAATACACCGAGCGGTACAGCGAACATTTAAAGCGCGCTTCTCCCCACTGTGTGACAACTTCAGTTTCCTCATATAAATACGACCCGACAGACACACGTCCGCTGCACTGGAGCTGCAGTTTAAGCCCGGACATGTTCTCTTGGTTGCTGGTATTGTTGTGTCATTTGCTGCAGTGTTTAATGCATCCATTTCACCTACCAAAATAAAAGACCATCCTGTGGCGTGCACACAGAATACAACACAGGATTAATGTAAAGTATTTTTGTCATCTAAGAACCTGTTTGTGAGTTTTTTATTGATGTGTCAGGGTTGTTAAGCACTGACATATCATAGACTGTAATTTAAAAGCGAAACAAAAAACTCGTACCACGTGTTATTTCTAAAAAAAAAAAAAATTCTCATCTAAAAACAGCTGTGGCATACTACAAACGAACTGCCATTTAAAGTTTTAAAAATCCCAAAAATTAATGAATAATTGGTCGTTGTGATCAGGGCAGATGTTGGTTTAAATATCCTAAATAGTGAAAGTGAAAAATAATATTGTCCAGTATTTTTATGGCAGATTTTTTCTACAATAAAACCACAACACAAACATTTTACCCTGCATTTCTATTTATGTCGAACTTTATAACAAGCTTGTAGTTTTCTATTTTGGTTTGTACAGTAAAGCCAATGCCACATTTTTTTAAATTATTTTTTTTTTTTTTTTTTTTTACAACAACAACAATAATAACTTTCTTGTATCACCATATATGTAATAATAGAATAGAATAATTTTTTATTGATTTTTATTAATTCCCCCATTGGGAGAAATTTACACGTCACAGCAGCATCCAGAAATATAGAAAGAAAGTACAAGAAAATAACAATAATTACGTAATAAAATAAGTATGTAAATAAATGAATGAAAAATTAAATAATAAAAAAAATCAGTAAAAATGAAGACTTCTTTACCTTTGATTCTTTTTAAAGAAGAAATAGCCGACATCAGATAATAGAAAAAAATTTCAAACACAAACCAGATCCACTTGCAAATGAAGGAAATGATCGTTTTTGCGGTTTTTTCAACTGGGTTCTCTTATTTTGAAATAATTCCAACTGACCGCCGACGTCATCTGGCCGCGCGCTGTGACCGCCGCTAGCTTGACGCAGCAACAACAACTCTGTGAACGGCGTCAGTGACAGTTGGTCTTTTCGTTACTCAGGTGAGTGGTCTCCAAGCCCTCGATGGTTTCGACACTATTTATCACATTTCTCACGTTTGTTGCTTCCATACGAGCGTGGCGTGGCCGGGCGGGCCGGGGGCGGACGAGGCGTTTCTGTCACATGAGGAGGAGGAGGAGAAAGGGGCATTAAAAAACAGAAATATGCTTTTTTTGACAGCTAGCTGTTTTAGCTAGCCTGGTCAGGTAAGGTCGAGTGATACGGCGGCGTTCGTCGCGCAGCTGTCACGGGATGAGCGGGGCTGCTGGCGGCTTATCGGGGGAGTAGAAATAGACATTAATAATAGTGTGTGTGTGTTTTTACCGTGTAGTCAAACCACCACCGCCTCGGTGTGTGTGAGCCAGCAGGGCAGCTCAAAGTGCACAAGGAGTAACCGTTATTGGAGGTGTTTTTGTCGCTGCTAGCTTCGCCATTTGTTTGACCAAACAGCCGCCTCCATGATATCTAACTGTCTGTGTTATCATTGATAGCGCCGCTGGGAAAACCTCCAAGAAAAGCTGGGAGGAAAAAAAAAAAGTGGGAGCCCAGGCCCAGCTGCTCCAAGTCCTCTCCAGGACCGCTCAGCCCTCCTGTGACATGGAGTAATTTTTTTGGAAAGTTTCTTCCCTTCATCGTCCCCCGACAGCCTTGGTGTTTTTAACGCGTTTTTAAAGGAGTTTTACGGCCTGCCACAGTCGGACAGTCATGATGTTGATCGTGGAGGTCCAGAAGAAGGAGTTTAGCTCATGACTGAAGACCATGAAGCGTCCAGGGAAGTGACCTCGGTGGACACCGCAGCCTGAGGGTGCCTCTCAGCGGCACCATGGCATCCAAGGAGAGACTGTATGAAGTGTGGATGCTCTACTGCACCAAGGTAAGGTGTATCCCTGCACACACACACGCTCCCATTACTCCCATTATGGCTGATCTGTCTCCTGTTGAGTAGCCACCGGGTGAAGTCATGGACAGTGTGATGGCATTTCCTCCTCCAGCAACGAGCTTCTTCTCTCATGGCATTTATATTTTGGAAGTATAGGGTTTCTTCTTGTTTTTATAACAGATTAAGCAGTGACAGGCTGCGGTTAGCTCTGACCTGTGCAGACATACAGTTTTAAACCAGCATATTTCCATTATATATATATATTACACTTTCCAGGATGCAAAAGCCTCTGAAGTAGCGTATAAAACATTTTAAAGCACTGCAGTAAAAGGCAGACTAATGAAATTGCTTGTAGATCCTGAAGGATTTATCACTGGGGGACACATTAAGTTTATAAATGAATAATTCATCCACTGAGAACACTCTGTAATGTAATGTCATCTACATCCAGCTTCCCTGTTATATAGGCGCTGACTAAATAATATATAAAATTGAACATAAATTAAGATTTAACACAAGTATGGGTGTTTTTTGACGGCATTACATCATGTTGTGGTGTTGTTTTCACAGTGGAGATGAATGAGTGACACTCGAGTAAAGACAGCAGCCCTTGAGTCAGCTGTTGGCTAGATTTAATTCGGTCTGTGATAAAGCATGCGCCCATCCCGGTGTCCAATCAAAGCGGCCTGCCTGAGCCGCTCCTCACGTGAGCCAGGCTGCAGTTGCACACTTGCTTCCCACAGTAATCCCTCACAAAAACACACGCAGTACGCAGCCCTCTCTAAAGTATTTACCCATTAAAGCAGAGCTGGTGTTCTTATGTTTAGGATATGGCATCGAGTAATCCTCACCCTGAGAGGTAAAAGCGTATGACTGCTGGCACAGATGCAGCATCTAATGCCAGCGTTGTGGGTGTTCGGGGGTCTTAACAGAAGTATTCCGACACAGTTCTGCCTACACACACTTATCACAGTCAGTCGTGAAAATGCCAGCGACTGCTGCAAGCGTACACATTGCATTTGTTCTAGCAGGGCTGTGTATTTGCATTGACCAAGCATTATACTGCAAGGAAGGATAATTTCATTTCATCCTGGATTCGAGCCAAGGTCCACTGGGGCAAGCTTTATAGCTGCATGAGGGACAGCGAGAGGCATTTAAATATATATGTGTAGCTGCCTGTCTCTCCCCGAGCAGCTGAAATGTCAGGTATGGCTGGCGGGCGTCCCTTCACTATACATATGTGTGAGTGAGGGTTGCCAGGATATGCTGTCTTTAAGGAGAAGCAGCAGTCACGTGGCCTAAATCGGATGAGGAATGTATGTGTGTGGGGCTTGTCTGGCCTCTGAGACCAGACCCCCTGTGTCCCAGCGAAGGGTTAATCGTTCCACTGCTGACCTCGGTCCCTTCCTCCCCTCTGCAGCCTCATGTTGTCTCAACCAGCACAACTATTTTCTTATCGTAGTTGTGTGCAAGAAAGTGCAAGTTGTGCATCACACAGTACCTCAACACTGGTGGTCTAGTTACAGTTTGAGATATAGTTCAAGCGATTATGTCCTGGTTATGTTATTTATGCATTCATGTGTTTTACAATTAGTATCCGGGGTGCTCAATGTTCAGATAGTGTTGTCGCTATCTAGGCTATCGAAGCGTAAAACTACATCAAGCACAATCCATAAATTCCTTAAACTGGACTATATATTTCAGCTAGATGACTAAAGTTTTATTCCTTTCCTCATCCTGATGCTGTGCCTCCCTCGTGTCCTCGCCCTGTTTAATGATTGACAACAGTAGAGCCATCAGTGGCTTCTTTTCAGTGTTGGAGGTTAACACTCAAACTGTTGTCTGTAGAGGAGTCGGTCCGATGAGTGTTGTTGACAGTCGGAGCTTTTACAATACAAGCAGCCCTTGGCCGCACCGGAAGAACCAGCTCATCCAGTTCAGTCAGCTCGACATCAGCTGTCGAACTGATAGTTTATCTTTATGTGTCATCGTCATTCACCTGATCGTCAACCGGTTCCAGGCACCGAAGGAGGAAGAGGAAGGGTTTTCACTGAAACAGATGTGCGACTGTTGAATTAAAGGCTTTGGCGTATGACCCTGCGAACATATTTCTGACTGTTTCGAGCCACCAGTGGCAGCTGTCCTGTTGGCAAAAATGATGATGAGGTCAGAAATTGTTGACAGAGCAGCTGTGGCATCAATATCAGTGTTGAGAAGTGAGTAGGAGGCGGTGCGATGTGTGGGGACTGGCGCTGTGCTCACATTGTATGGGAAGTAATGTACTGAGCAGTTCTTTTTGGTTTTTAAGGGCCTATTTAACTTTTCCACCTCTGCCACATGTTCACATTACTGAGTTTTATGTCCAGCATTAAAGGATAACACTGGTGCTTTTGCCGTTGGAAAAAATCCCCTGAAAGAAAAAAACTAATGAATTGTTCACTTATTACTTTCGGATTTGACACAGATGATAAATCTACTATGTAATGAAGCTACGCCGTATATTATTAGGTTCTCTTGTCCTTACATCCTAAAATGTGTTTTAAAATAGAGTTACAATGATTAATTAATTGGTTGTCAACTGATATGTTAATTTAGAGAGTTGATTAAGTGGTTTGGGTGACAGTAAGCTGAATATCTTTGGGCAAAACAAGACATTTGAGGGCATCAACTTGGACTGTAAAAACATTTTTTATTATTTTATTGATCACACAATTAATCATTTACTGAAGGAAATAACTGACAGATTGTTCGACGGTGGAAGTAATTATTAGTTGCAGCCTATTTCAAAGTATTCTTTATCTTTAGAAAGTAGTCGCCGACTTCTGTCTATACTCTGTTTTTGCTTTTAACCTGACAGCAGAATATTCCAACAAATATTTGCTCATGGAGGCACATGCCTGCTTCAAACAGACATATGCAGCATTTAAAGTAGTTTTCCATCATCTAAATGTTTACTAAAGAGTAACTCCACTTCCAGCAGCATTTACACAAGACAACGAGTGCAGCAAGTCTTTGTAATCTTAAATAATCTCGGCTCAGAGGTTTACTGACTGGCTACGGTACCTGAGCTTTTAACCACATGTTCAGAATGAGACTCAAGACTTTCAAATGTTTGTTTACATGAGAGACTTTAACCTGTAAATGAGTCTGTATTGATAAATCTGTACAGAGAACAGGGCTGCAACTACTGTTTGTTTTCACTTTCAATTCATTAGTTTATTACTTTCTAGTTTCATCCATAAAGAAACGGCGACAAATTTTGATCAGTGTTTCCTAAAGCCCAAAATGACATCTTCAAATGTCTTGTTTTTTCCATTACCTCAAAAGATATTCAGTTTGCTGCCATAGAGGAGGAAAGAAACCAGAAAATAAAAAGATTTAAACCAGCTCAATCAAACCAATTAACCACTGGTGATTGATTTAATAGTCGAAAACTCATCGATTAATTGTAGTTGTGAAACATACTAAGTGCTGAAGTGTGTCTGTAATTTAGTTTATGATTATGTTGCTATTGTAAAAAAAGAAAACAACTTAAAATCAGATTTGTTGATAATACGTACAGTGTGTAATGTATTAGCACCTGTTAAATGAATGGCAGGATCATCATCAGTCCCAGAAACTCTTTAGACTCTGTTGAGATGCTTCAAAGTGAGGATTTTGTGTGTTCGTACATATCTGCAGCAATCGTAAGTTCTATATTGTGTGATTTTTACGGTTAAAATGGGATCTGCAGGGGGCTTGACTCCAGCTCACTCCTCTGAGTTGTAGCAGGCTGAGAGGTCACAGACAACAGCTAAGGCCGTTACGTAACCAGCGATCTTCTTAGTTGCCAGAGCGTCGTCCCTTAGCAGCGGTAACCAGCGAAGCCACGCCGCTGCTGCAGTGCCTTTCCTCTTCCACCAGTATATTATCCAGAGGGGGGTTGTCAGAGCAAGTGGAGGGTTTAGCAGACTTTCTGAATAATGCCAGTTATGCTCCTAAAGCCTTTGTCTGCTGCAGAAAAGCCTTTTTAATTCCCAACCGCGGGGAACATGCCTCAACAGCCAGGGGCATCATTTCACCCCTCAGTGGCTTTAAAGTTGAGTCCAGCATCTTAATTCTAAGAGAAATCCTCACCGCTTCTCAGCTGTCCACAAATCAGGGATTTCTGGTTCAGACTCACAGAACCGTCATCCCACCTTTCCCTGCCTGGTGGTGAGTCGCCTTTTGACTGGATTGGAGAAAGCGGCAGTGATTTGCATAAACCCCTGCACTTATGGGAGGCTGCATATAGAGAGAGGATTGGAGGAAGGGGGGCGGGAACGATGTGGGGACGAGAGAAACGGGTCGGGAAATCAAACTGGAAGTGATGGTGGAGGAGGAGAAAGTGCCGCGGTTTCACATATTTGCTCAAGTAGATTACTCAGGTCGTTTTCCGGCTTTGCTGCTTGTTTGCTTGTTGCAGTATAATCTCTGTCGCCACACACACACACACACACACACACACAAGTGCACACCACGCTACACACAGGCTCACACACTCAGGCACGAGTTTACTGTATCTGCTGGTATGCGAAGTTTGTTCCCTCAGGCTAGCCTTCTTCCTCACTGTTGGAGTCGTGCTTCTCATTTTGCTCGCATATCTCTGCACTAACACTGATGTCACAAACACAGTGGATCAGACGTGTCTCATGTGGTCCTGACCCCTCCCACCAGCCTCTATAAATACACCTCTGTCAGCGACGTCATGGCCGGAGGGGTTGTCACTGATTGATGGGGAGTGATGTTGGCCTGTGAGGGGGCAGAAGCAGAAAGACCACAGCCGGCTCTTAAACCTACAGGGAGGAGACCTTTAAACATTGCGGTTACAGTGATTCCATGCCACTTCCACCAAACCAGGTCACCGTCAGCCTCCCAAAACCGAGCAGGCAGGCAGCCGCCCGACCAGCTGGCAGACCACGCCTGTCTGGAAGGTTGGAGCGCTTGCTGAGCTGCAGACTGTGTAGCTGCACTGC